TCATCCGACATCGCCTGCATTCTTTTCCTCAAACAGAACCGCTTCCTATTCTCTTCTCTTTTCAGGGCAAAATGCTGTCTTCCCAATGCAAGTCATCAGTTTCAATACATTTGTTACCACAAGCATGTGTGGTTAATGAAGACTTGATGCCCCGCAATAGGTGTCTATTTGGTGTTTCAATATTTTAACATTTGTATTAGTTCCTGAAAAAATGAAGCCTATATTTTTCTCTCGTAATTTTGATACCAGAAAAAAGGGTCCTATAAGGATATTTTATCATGGTAAACTATAGGTGGCATAGTAGTGTGCTTATTGTTATAGCTGTGCTATATGTAGCAGAATACAATGAGAGGCTGAAGAGGTGTATAAGGTATGACTGCTGAAAGAGTCATCAGGTGCCATCAGGCCATTTTAGAGTATTTAAGAGTGCATCCCCTATTAAAAAGGAAAGGGCCATCAAACGTTATATTCATCTTCGGGATGCCCAAATAACCATTCCGCGCCTGCACATTCAGCTCTCATAGCCGCTACATCCTAGTTAAAGAGACAAACCGTGCTCTAAGGAAGTTATGTTACTGTTCTTACTTTATGACTTGCATCAGAGCAGTGGAGTGTGGAAAGCCTAAGTGTTGATGTACTGTCTAACATAAGTAGACTTTATGTTAAATTATTGTCTCGCAGTGTTCTTGATTTTTGTTGTTCATGACGTTTGTTGTGTCCACCCCCCTTGCAAATCAAACCCTCACACACCCAGAGCTGCATATTATTTCAGTCCGTGACAGACAATTACGTTTGGTGGATCAAAGTCCATGACCAGCAGGGTCATTCGGCATCGCAAAGCTCTGTCCTGGGTCCACTTATTAGATATATCTACATGACACCATTAGGTACCACCTTTCATCAGTTATGTCTCAATTTCCACTTATGTTGGTGACACTAAAATTTAAGTACAATGCAAATCAAACCTTATTGATTCACTCTGTTCTCTCATCATAACTTTCACTTATCAGAACCATCTGAATGAAATCAAATGGAGGTTCTGCTTATCAGGTCTTGCCACCAGCTGGTAAAGGCTGGTTCGTTTAGTTTCCTCCCTGCACAGGATGTCATGAATCTCAGGTGTGTTTCTTGATCCATCATTAACTTTCATGGCACACATGAATAAAATGAAGATCATTCTTGTTTTCATTTATGGAGCACTGCCCAGTTATGTCCCATCATCTCAGTCACTGACGTGGAGAAATTGGTTCATGCCATTATTTCCTCATGCATCGGCGGCTACAATGCCGTTGCTATCTGAAACCTCCAGTAAGGTACTCCTTGTCAACTCCAATCCATTTAGAATGCAGTTATAGTCCATATTAAATTCAATGTCCTCATATTTAAAGCCCTGAATAGTCATGCACCCATATCTATTCAATAGTTGCTGTGCCCCTATTTCCAAAGAGAACTCTGAGGTTGACGGACTTATATCTAATCTGCATTCCAAGAATGAAGCTCAAGTCCACAGGTGATTGGGTCTTTGCTTTTGTGGCACCTGGAATGTGGAACTCTCTGCAAAAGGCTGTCAGGGAGTCCGGTTTGGTTTGAATCTTCAAGTTTCGCCTAAAAACATTTTGCTTTCATTCTACAAACAGAATTAGGGTACCCCAATGGGTTCTCCCTTATCGCCAGTGGTAGCGAATGTTTTCATGGAGAAACATGAGACAGATGCCATCCAGACATCCACCCTACGTTCTTCTTTCTGGAAGAGATACGTAGATGACACGTTCGTCATCTGGCCACATGGCCTGCCAGCACTGAACCAATTTCTCAACCACATCAATTCAATACACAACATGGAAGTGGAAAAGGATGGGAAGCTACCATTCCTGGATGTTTTGATCGAGAAGAGAAATGATGTCTCGTTGGGACATTCGGTCTACATGAAAGCCACCCACATGGATCCCTATCTAAAACCAGACTCCCACCACTATCCAGCGCAGAAGAATTCCCTCATCAAAACACTACACCATAGGGCCCGTTGCATCTCCTACCAGCACCACCTAGCTAGTGAGTTGGAGCACGTACACCAAGCCCTCAGGATGAACGGATACTCGGACCGTACAATCCGCAAAGCTACTTCCACAGCCATGAGGAGACAACCTTCTGAGGATTGAACCAAAACCATCACTTTTCCATACATAGCAGGGGTTACCAAAAAGATTTCCAAAATCTTCAACAAACAGAGGATCCAGGTTCGTTTCAACACAGTACACAAAATCCGTGATTTAATCCCATCTGTAAAGCATTTGATTCCTGACATGCAATACCCTGGTGTCTACAAACTAAGTGTGGTTGTGGCAGCAGTTACATTGGGGAAACGAAACGACACGTCTCGGACCGCATTCGGGAACACAAGGCGGATTTGAAACACGGTAGGACCAATACCTCTTCCGTTGCTGATGATTGTTTTAACGCTGTGGGCTCACCCAAAATTTATTTTTCCAAGACGGAGGTACCCTACAAACCTACCGGCTACCTTCAGAGATTTGTTCATGAAGCAATCCAGATATATAAACACAGACACAACTTCCACCGAGAAGATGGGTACAACCTGAGCAATCATTGGAAGGACGTTATTAACCAGGTAAGTCTTGACTGACTGTGATGTTTCCATCCTACCTGCCTATGTCAGCTGTTATTTCTGACTCTCTGTGTCTCTCTCTTTTGATTGTACTCTCATGTTCACGTCCTTGGATTGCACTCTCATGGTGCTAATCTCTCATTAACATTGCTGTTGTGCGCATATGCGGGCATGATATTCTTATGCGGCGACGGAAGTTCATTCATGCTAATCTCCCTCCCTAATCCCTCTCTCCCTAATCGCCCATTAACACAACTGAGGTGCTTGCATCCGGGGATGGAATTCCTTTCCAGCTCAGACCCCGCTTGCTTGCCCATCTCCACATATATAACCTCTTGTTGTAACAGCTCTCTCACTGGTTCAGCAGTTCCACTGCTGGATTATATTTTTTTCCGCCTGAGGACGACCGCTTGTGTTGCGATCGAAACGTCGTGATTTATTTTATAATATTTTATACCTACGTGACTTTACCAAAATAACCAAAGAGTATACTTTCAGAAAGCGTTTCCTAATTAAACTAAGCGTGATAATTGTTTTTTTACCATTTTATCTGCCAACAAAACTGACACCTTTTATACAAGGAGTCATGTTTACATTGACCACAATATCTGCGGTCGGAACGCAACCAAAAACAACTCTGATAATGTATGCACTGTCCTTGAAATTGATTGGTCCACACCCGAGACAGCTTTCTTTAGAGCCTGGTCTCACATGGTGTTGGACCAGAAGACGCCAAAAGGCGCACAACTCAAAGGCAATGCACCATCAGAGTATGAGAGCTCGGGGTAAGCATTTACACCATTGGAACCTCCTTTGCCAGTAGCAAAATATGATTATTGTTTTTTTTACCCTTTTATCTGGCAACAAACTGACACCTTTTTTACAAGGAGTCATGTTTGCATTGACCACAATACCTGCGGTCGGAATGCAAACATAAAACATAACTCTGATAATGTATGCACTGTCCTTGAAATGTATTGGTCCACACCCAAGACAGCTTTCTTTAGAGCCTAGTCTCACATAGTGTTGGACCAGATGACGCCAATAGGGCACAACTCACAGACAATGAACCATCAGAGTATGAGAGGTCGGGTTAAGCATTTACACCATTGGAACCTCCTTTGCTAGTAGCAAAATATAATTGTTTTTTTACCCTTTTATCTGGCAACAAAACTGACACCTATTTTTTTACAAGGAGTCATCTATGCATTGACCACAATACCTGTGGTCGGAATGCAAACAAAAAACATAACTCTGATAATGTATGCATTGTTCTTGAAATTCATTGGTCCACACCCAAGACAGCTTTCTTTAGAGCCTAGTCTCACATGGTGTTGGACCAGATGACGTCAAAAGGCGCACAACTAAAATATAATGCACTATCAGAGGATGAGAGCTCGGGGTAAGCATTTGCACCATTGGAACCTCCTTTGCCAGTAGCAAAATATAATTGTTTTTTTACCCTTTTATCTGGCAACAAAACTGACACCTATTTTTTTACAAGGAGTCATCTATGCATTGACCACGATACCTGCGGTCGGAATGCAAACAAAAAACATAACTCTGATAATGTATGCACTGTCCTTGAAATTGATTGGTCCACACCCAAGACAGCTTTCTTTAGAGCCTAGTCTCACATGGTGTTGGATTAGATGACGCCAAAAGGGGCACAACTCAAAGACAATGCACCATCAGAGTATGAGAGCTCGGGGTAAGCATTTACACCATTGGAACCTCCTTTGCCAGTAGCAAAATATGAACCTCCTTTGCCAGTAGCAAAAAACAATTATCATATATTGGTGCATTGTCTTTGAGTTGTGCGCCTTTTGGCGTCATCTGGTCCAACACCATGTGAGACTAGGCTCTAAAGAAAGCTGTCTCGGGTGTGGACCAATCAATTTCAAGGACATGCATACATTATCAGAGTTATGTTTTTTGTTTGCATTCCGACCGCAGGTATTGTGGTCAATGCAAACATGACACCTTGTAAAAAAGGTGTCAGTTTTGTTGCCAGATAAAAGTGTAAAAAAACAATAATCATATTTTGCTACTGGCAAAGGAGGTTCCCATGGTGTAAATGCTTAACCCCGAGCTCTCATACTCTGATGGTGCATTGTCTTTGAGTTGTGCACCTTTTGGCGTCATCTGGTCCAACACCATGTGAGACTAGACTCTAAAGAAAGCTGTCTCGTGTGTGGACCAATCAATTTCAACGACAGTGCATACATTATCAGAGTTATGTTTTTGTTTACATTCCGACTGCAGGTATTGTGGTCAATGCAAACATGACTCCTTGTAAAAAAGGTGTTAGTTTTGTTTCCAGATAAAAGGGTAAAAAAAACAATTATCATGTTCGAATGCCATTGTTTCATACCTTGTTGAGGTGCCAGCTTCACAGGCATTGTCGGTTCTGTATCACCTGTAAAAGTAAAGATGACATAAAATATGAAGTAAAAAACATCAAATAATATTTTCCTCATATTGACAAAATTTCACATCAAACGATTATCAGCAATCTCTATGAGCTTCGACTTAGTTATAAATACAACTGGTCAACGAATTTCAATTGCATTTCTATAATGAGTGGTTAAAAGTATGTAAATGAAAGATACGTGAAGATTAGGTGATATGAGATTTAAACGTTTGTAAAATTCTTCTTCAGGTACAATCTTCCCGCTCAGTAGTGACAATGGCCCTAAATGAAATCCCTCCATTTCTATCTGTTGTCAACAAATGTGACCACTTAATTCATTGGGAATCCCGTCTGCCCTACTTCTTCAATTTACAATCCAATGCACACTGTCCGCCTCTACTTCTCTGTGTATTCTGGTGTGCATCACAATGTTTGTATATTGTCAGAATACATTTTATACATTTACAACTCACTCCTGTCTAATTTATTTGGATTTTTTAGAATTGCGTTGTTTTTGTCCTGTCGTTTTTCTTTCTATTCCAATTTTTATTTCTGAAACCTCATTCCCAAGTCCTCTCTGTCAATCCCTTTCTGCATGCACTATCATAAGTTCATCCACTTTCCTCAAACGTCAAGTCTGATTAATAGAATAATGTTGGTTGACCATCATTTTAAGTATTTATATATATTTTAACATGTAATCCGAAAATGTATTTATGCAATGATCCTTAACTCTGAAAATTGCTTCTTACCTCGACATAGTTACTGTGTTCTTGCAGAGCTAAATGAAGATACTTTCTGGTAACATTGAAAAATAAAGTCCTTTTTAATGCACTACTGGATGATGACCTCCTAATCCCATGACATTCGTGGGAGTTCTTTGACTGTATGTCACCATAATCACCAACAATGGTGGCACTATTCATATGCAACCTAACCAAAGGTTTCGCCTCCTCAGCTGGTCATGTGAACCAGGGTTCAGGAAAAACTTAGGGTTGCACCAAGTATCATCTACAAGATACAATATTTCCCCTAAGATGATGTATCCTCTCCTTACACCTCATGGCCTCTTCCAAAATATGTCATTGTCTCATTTTACAACCAGAACACTACGAAATAAAGAAGATTGTTTATGAGGAGCCTTCATTGTCTACCAAACAGAATCTACGTATGGAAGCCATTAGATGTTTTTTCATTAGATTTTTATCTTAAACCCACAATTGAAGGTTCGAACATTTCTGTCATAGAGTCCAGGGACTGGGCAGGGAGTACAATACAAACCCTAGGACTGAAAGACGTATGTGTGTCCAGACTTAATTTGGCATGCTCGAGAAAATGGTGGAAATTATCTGTGAGACCCCGACAATGTATATCTTATTAACATTAATTATTTTTTTTTGCCAATCGATAGTGTCAGAAATTTTCGATGAAATAAATCATATGACATCTTTTTAAAATAATACTACAGAGAATTCGCTGTTATTTTTCTTTTATTAATGTACAGAGCTTGGAAATTCAGGACTCCCTGCTCCTTTTCAAAGGTTTACCGATCCACGTCTATACTTTGCACAATTGGGCGACGTAAGAGAAAGCAGGGGGATATGAGCTGTGGTTTATAGCACAGTGTTCTTCTTGAGTTATCTGCCAAAGAACAGCTTCCAAAGTGCAGCTTTTTTAATCTTCATACAACCTCAGCTTTATAAATCAGAGTAGTCCAGATGTTAACTCTTATAGTTCATCATTTATACCTGCAATTAATTAAAATTAGTACTTTGTATATACAGTACATTATCAGGTTTCTCATCATTGTAGACTAGTATTGTACATAGCTTGTATTTTTTTGCGTTTAAGCTTATCTCTTGTTATTGTGATATGCTGCTCTGAAATAAGTCTGCTTTGCTTTTTCAATCTTAGTCCGTGGAAGTTATTACAATGTCATTGACATTAATTATCTCTTGTTATGGACATTCTTTAACCATTTGACAGTTCATTGGAATGTATTACACGATTTTCAAAGGGGACATGGGTTAGATGTAGTCAAGTAGAGATCGTTTTAAATTAAGTCATAATAAATTTAAATTTTAAATTTAGGCTTTGGTAATGCTCTTTGGTCTTTGAGTAAAGGTGCTACGAAATATCATGGTCAGAAAAGATGGATTGTCGTGATTCTTGGACATGATTCGATTCACAAATAGATGTATTATTACCAGTGTGGTAATTATAACGGTTTCAGGACTTCCTTGAACAACCAGAGTTTCCATAAGTAAACAAGTACGTTTATTATGTATTATTATCATTAATTATTATTAGTCCAGTCCAATATGAATGTCTACAAAACGTGCAGGGTAGGTTTTTTGAAAAGAAACATAGTTTTAAGTCTATTTCCAAACACATACTATAATGTTTAGAATGCATTTAAGCATAACCAGATAGTAAATGTGTGATTATTTGCATGTATCATCAGGGTGAAATTATTTTTTATGAAATAATAATTTCAACAAATACATAGCTTGGATCGTAATAGGTAAATGTTATCTCAATTATAACAATATGATAAACCAATAGGTTAATATTACATGTGTTTTGACAATTGAGTACATTTATAGTGTAAATGATAAATTCATCTTACCTCCTCCAAAAATTGGGAGATGCATAGCTATGTTGGCATCTTTGCAAACAAATTGATTTTTCAGTGTTTCACTCCAATTCAGCTGAAAAAATTAAAAGATGGTAGCAGTCAAAGACCAATATACAACACAGCTGTATTAAATATTGTCTCGATAAATATGTAGTGTCACCATAAGTCATTGTTTGAAATATATAATTGTGGATTGTTTTGTTATGTAATATTTACATTCTATACATAAGCAAGCATAATCATATGTGCATTAACGACACATACTGAAACAAAATATGTTGGCAAGTGCTGTTAACAAGCACCTATAAATACTGACACAGCACACTCTGATGTAGTGTGCCAACGCCATGCCCAGCTGCCTTAGTCTCCATAGAAATAAGTACCGCTTTCCTCCCAGGACTCACCTTCCTATTGATGAAGCTACCATCCTACCTATTTGACTACTGAAATGTATCCTACAGATCAACTTTAAAGGGTCTCATCAAACTAAATTCTCTAAATTGTTTAGATTTTTAAAAATCGCATGAGATGCCCATTATTCTTCACGCATATCGCAAGTATGTGTACATTTTCCGTCCAGGATTAAGTTTGTGAGCCTTCGGTAGTGCGACTAATACTGTCCAGTCTGCCGGAGAGCGGTGTAGAATGCAGTTGTCCATAATTTGGTCCACTGTTTGATTCGAGTGGCTGCAGTCACACTGTGGAATCACCTTAATCAACTTGTGTAAGAGGTGTGTGCAGCGACCAGTTGTTTTTCTGAAGAAGTTCAGCCACTCAGTGGGAGTGCATTTCAATATACTCGTTATTGTTCGAAGGATCCTGTTGATCTGGATATTCAATTTCCTTGTGTGGGCGCTTGATGCTAAGACTGGCGTGCAATACTCAGCACTGGAGCATACGAATGCAAGACAGCCGTACATAGGATTTTGGTGGAGGCATTCCATGTTGTACCAACCAGTTTTTAAAATGGACCCCCTTTGCTTTTATATTTTCGCACACATTTTTAGTGTGCTTTTTGAACACGCCGCGTCATTATGTTTTGTCATAATATTCAGGTTTACGGCTCGTTTTTGACAGGGTTACCGCAGAAAATCACTTCCAACTGAGTGTTTGTCGCAGTTATTGAGATGGTGGATCTAAACAGTATTGGATGAATTTGACTGTCGTCTCCACCTTTTGGAAGCAATCTTCTAATACAGATAGGCCTTCCATTCGTGTCCTTAAGCCTTGAGGTTTGTACCTTAAGTGGTCCAGATAAACAGATTTGTGGGATGATGTCTTTGACAGGTCACTGGTGAAGATGATAAATATCGGAACCAGTACTGATCTCTGTGGTAAGCCGTCATTGACTTTTTTTACAGCTTGTGTTGTCGGCAAAATGTAACCAGAAGTTCCAGTTGCTGAGCATCAAGTTCTGCAGAATCAATGTTGAATGGCATTTGATGATGCATGCTGCCTTTAAGATGAACCCATGTCTCCAGATGATGTCATCGGAGGATCATGTCCCTTACAGATCTCATCACTTTGAGCTGTACCCCTAAAACTAATCTAACCTCGCTGAAATTCCGTAGAGATCTACACTGGGCGATCTTCATCAATAAAGTTCTTACATCTAAATCAGCTAAGTACAAGCTGCTTCAATACATTTTTAACACTTCTGAGAATTTGCAACAATACCACAAGAAACGTGCCTCCCAGCTCTGGAGACCACCTGAAGAAGATGCCAAGCATGCATTGACAATGATAGCGAAAAAGTAGAGATTCGTTGACTTTTTGAAGCTATTAACATACATTTGTTATCATGTAACAGTATATTATCCGTTCTTTTTCCATTTAAAACTATAGTCCGATATAAGTATCAACATTTTTTTGAAGCACCCTGTATTTAACCGACATTCTCCATACATAAAAAAAATCCAAGAAACCATAAAAAACGTTAAACTACACCCACACCCCAGCCAGGGAGGATGCCCCCAGACAAATCAGATTCCCATAAGAGCACACTTTTCAAAAATATTTACTCACAAATACCATACTCTTTGGTTTTTTCAGTAAAGTCACAAAGGTAAAAAATAAAATAAAATAAATGAAAACAACTAAATTAAATCACGACGCTTCGGGCGCAACACAAGCGTCCTTCTTCAGATGGGGACAACGTAGCGAAAGCACAACCGCTTAAGTGTGTCTAAGAGATGGCTGTGACGAGGAATTATATAGTCGCGGGGGATGGAGGGAGGGGAGGGGCCATGGTGAGTGTGTGGACGGGCTGTGGACTGGGAGGCAACAATGTGAGGAACGGGGAGGGCGCTGGGAGGCAACGTATGGAGTTCAAACTGAAGCTTTGTGATGCAGGGGGCGGAAGTAGATAAGAAAGCTAAGATTACATTTTGATTTAAAGCTTTCGTGACTGCAGTGATTGATATTCTTGGTTCTTTCGGTAAAGTCACGTTGAAGGGAAACAATAAAATATATATAAAAAATAAAATTCTCACGACGTTTCGACTGTAACACAAACAGTCATCATCAGATGTGAAAACCAACGGCAAGAAACATTTGAAAGAAGTGGCGGTTTGTATTTATTTATTTTTAAACGTTAGCACCACAGATAGCGATTTGACAGTTTGTTTAGAAGGATGAGTTCATCTATGTTCGGAAAAGAGGAGGGGGGAGACGAAAAATTAATGTATTCTGTCTGAAAGCCACCGTAAGCGTGAACAATCAATTAAGACCCGAAATGGTTTATCAAATCCTTCCAAAGATTGCTAAGCCAGAATCCATCTTCTCGGTTGAAATTGTCTCTGTGTTTGTATATGTGGATAGCCTCATGAACGAATCTCTCATGGTAGCCCGATGGCTTGCAAAGAACCTCTGTCTTGGAGAAGTCAATGTCATGTGAGCCTACTGAATTATAACAGTGATCTGCCACGGCCGAGGTGTTGGTCCTACCGTGTTTAAGGTCTGCTTTGTGTTCACGAATGCGGTCCGAGACATGTCGTTTGGTTTCTCCAATGTAACTACTACCACAGAGGCAACTTAGTTTGTAGACACAAGGGTACTGTATGTCCGGAATCACCTGGATCTTGTTTTTATTCAAGATTTTGGAGATCTTTTTTGTGATCCCCGCAATGTAGGGTAAAGTGATGGTTTTGAAAGGCTCCTCAAGAGGGTCCTTCTTCATGGTTTGAGTGATAGCTTTGCGGATTGTATAGTCGGAGTAACCATTAGCCTTAAGAGCTTGGTGTACGTGCTTGAGTTCACTGCCTATGTGTTCCTGGTCGGATATGCATTGTGCTCTATGGTGCCACTTCTTTCAAATGTTTCTTGCCGTTGGTTTTCACACCTGATGATGACTGTTTGTGTTACAGTCGAAACGTCGTGAGAAGTGTATTTTTATATATATTTTATTATTTTATTGTTTCCCTTCAACGTGACTTTACCGAAAGAACCAAGAAAATGAAGCTAAGATTAAGCAGTCTTTTGCTATGCTGCCAGTAAACTGCACGGCAGCTAAAGTTTTGACTTGGTTAATTGCATCCTTCCAATGATTGTCAATTTGAATCCATAATCTCGGTTTAAGTAATGTCTATGTTTGTATATCTGGAAAATTAGAAAGGCGCAAGCTGAACTTGCACGCTCGAAATAACGTGTGGCAATGGTGATGGTAGTGTGTAAAGCTGGGAGTAGAAGACTGGGAATATGGATATGAATATGAAAATAAATATAGCCTGGCTGTCTCGCAGTAAACTGCACGGCAGCTGGAGTTTTAACTTGGTTAATTGCATCCTTCCAATGATTGTCAATTTGAGTCCATCCTCTCGGTTGAATTTATGTCTATGTTTGTATATCTGGATGGCTTCATGGACAAATCTTTGGTAGTATCCAGGAGGCTTTCAGATTACCTTGGTATCGCAGAACACAATGTCATGAGAACCAGTAGTATTATAACAGTGGTCAGCTACGGCCGAAGAATTCGTCCTGCCATGCTTCAAATCCGACCAATCAAATTCAAGGACAGTGCATATTATTATCAGAGTTGTCTTTTTGTTTGTATTTTGACTGCTCGTGTTGCGGTTATTGCAGACATGATGCCTTGAATAAAGGTGTCAGTTTTTTGTGCCAGTTAAAAGGGTAAAACCTATTACTATACCTCAATGTTATCAATAAACTCTATATACTCTCCAATCAGCTGAGCAACACAACAATAAGTCGTTATATATCACAAAGCAAATATGGCTAAAAATGGCGGTTTTCTTCCCCTCAACGCCAGCAACACGGACAGCGAACGAGCCCCGTTCAGAAGGACGAGTCAATCCATGCTCGGAACGGAGGAGGGGGGAGAGAAACAGCCACAAAGCGCTGTTATACTCCATGTTATAAACCATACCACTTAACATTAACATTGACAGCAACAATGTTTACATCGGATTGGGAACATGTAGACAATATGACTACCTCTTCGGCTGCCACTATGGCGACCAAATGTAGGGACAATTTGATTTCCAAATTTAATCGCCTCTCCAACAAAAAATCGGATCCACACACCGAAAAGATAGAAGTTAACAAAGTCGTAATTAAGCGCAGTAACAGTTCCATTTCTGATGGCCTGAAATCCGTTTTCGCTAAAGGGCTAAACTTTGCTGTCACACTGAGACACATATCAGTTAATGATATCATTGCCCATGTCGACGTTGCACTCAAGGGCTTGAGTCACATCTCTGCAGACGTAGCAAGATCTGAAATCGCTGTAACCCTCAAAAACGCTAAGATGCCACCTAGCAACATCAGCAAAGATGAACGCTTTGAATGATCTCAATTAAAAAAGAGAGATGATATTGTCGTCCTCTCAGCCGACAAGGGGAATGCCACTGTCATCATGGACAAAACAGAATATAACAACACAATTCAAGAACTACTCAACGATGGCAGCTATACACAAATAAAAAGAGATCCCACCAACAGCCTGGTTACCAAAACGAACAAATTAATCTCTGATTCAACAGCATTAATTCATCAGACCAAACAGTTCTCGTTGAAACCCTCTGCTGCCAGACCACCAAGATTATATGGCCGTCC